TGGAGGATCCAGTCTAGGTAGACCGCGTCCTTGGAGGATGCAGTCTAGGTAGACCGCGTCCTTGAAGGATCCAGTCTAGGTAGACCGCATCCTTGGAGGATCCAGTCTAGGTAGACAGCGTCCTTGGAGGATCCAGTCTAGGTAGACCGGGTCCTTGGAAGGATCCAGTCTAGGTGGACCGCGTCCTTGGAGGATCCAGTCTAGGTAGACCACGTCCTTCGAAGGATCCAGTCTAGGTAGACCGCGTCCTTGGAGGATGCAGTCTAGGTAGACCGCGTCCTTCGAAGGATCCAGTCTAGGTAGACCGCGTCCTTGGAGGATGCAGTCTAGGTAGACCGCGTCCTTCGAAGGATCCAGTCTAGGTAGACCGCGTCCTTGGAGGATGCAGTCTAGGTAGACCGCGTCCTTCGAAGGATCCAGTCTAGGTAGACCGCGTCCTTGGAGGATGCAGCCCATGAATTCGAACAGAGCCTGTATGGGAGACTGAACAAAGACTAGACTAATGATGATTGGGAGCAGGTGTGAACAGAGGATTCTAGAAGGGAGCTAGGGAAAAGGAGACAAACACAAAAGGGCAAAAAACGGCAACCAAGAAAAACTTAAGAACTGAAATATATCCTGAAAACACAACAAAATAGGAATTAAACCGATAAAACTAGAAAACAAAGAAAAACATGAATCAAAGTAAAACTGAATACTCAAAAGAAAACTTAAAAGAACCAAGATCGTGACATTGTTAGCTGTCAAATAATGTATCACACATGTAATTTGGGCTTAAAGTTCCAAAGTTATTTGTTTTTTCATTTGGGTATGCAAAATAGAAACAAGGTATGAAGAAGGTAGAGGTGGATAATTAGGAAGTTTTATTTATATTAAGTTTTATATTAAGTTTTGTTTGCCTGCTGTGAATGATTTTGTTATATACGTACAGGTTTATTTAAGATTATATTATTCTTTCTTTTGACATTTTTTCTCTTAAATCATTTGCATGCTAGAATGTGATTTAATTTTGAAATATCTCTAAGGTGTTTGGGTAATCTTCTCTGCCTTGTCATCTCTCTCCCAGGCCCCCCTATCATCTCCAGTGATCCAGTTCAGTACGCTGTCAGAGGTGAAAGAGGAGAGATCAAGTGTTACATTGCCAGCACCCCACCACCTGATAAGATTGTAAGTCCATCCTCCAAAGCTGTAATCTGCTCTAGAGTTTCTTGACCTCCCCTGATTGCATCTCACTCTCAGAGAATCCTGATCAAAGCTCCCGGTTCACCTGAGAGCACTTTCTCTCTTTAGCTTGTGTCACTCAGTCTAAAGGATAAGATAGAGGCGCCATTTTCTCCAGGAGTGTCGCTAATATGTGAGAACAAGGTGATCTTCCCCTGTAGACGAAGGTGGTACTCATGAAAGGAGCTCTTGGGGTTTTTGTTAGAAGTCAAAGAGGAAAGACAGGCCTCCTTCTGTGCAGATCATACCGAAGCCAGTGAACCTAATAGGATTAAAAGAAATCAAAGATACAGCTTCCAGAAATGTTTCATTTTTAAATGAGCGTTCAGCTCTAATGCCAAGAATTATCAAGTGAAGAAAATCATTTTAACATAAAATAATCTTGTCATCTAATTTGCAGCTTTGCAGTAATGATAGCCACTTTTCCCCATATCAGTCTTTCTGTTCTTTTCAGATTGGGCTGAAACTAATGACCTCTACAGATGTAGTTGGTCATTTGGAACGCTTTTTAAGCAGTAACGCCTCAGTAACTGCCGCCGCAGCATTAAGGGAGGCTAAAGTAATTTAATTAATGGAAAACAGAATAGCTGCAGTAAGCACTAAATAGCACCAGGTGGCAAATGTGAGCAGTCATTATAAAACTGCTGTTTTGTCCACATTCATTAGAAAACAGAAGAACAATGTCAGTTCTATTAAATTCATTTAACCTTTTTTTTCATTTAATCTTTTATCAAAATGGTATTTATTATGGCAGAGTTTACAGAAAAACAGAGTTTTACGGTTTGCCATAGATTTATATGCAATAATAACAGTAGTGATGATTTAATGAGTTCATCCGGTTTTATCTAAAGACCTCATATTGGAGTCAGGTGTGTGGAAGTAGGGTCTCATCTAAAAGTAGCAGGACACGAGGCCTGGAGGGCTAGAGTTTGAGACCTATGTTTTAAACATTAGTCTCAATATAAGTATTGGAGCTGGAAATGCAAATGGTTTGAATTAGTTTCTGAACCACCACATTGCTTAACAGCGGTTCTAGAGAAATAAAATCTAATTGAAATGAAAATTAAACAAAGATTTATTTTCCTGTTGTACAGAATGTGTCAAAGTTTGTTTTGTTTTGGTCTCCAGAGACCAGTTTTTCTCTCACTAAAAAGAACAGAATCAACCCCCTTTTTTGAAATCATAACCAGAATCAACAATAAAGCAAATTGTATGAAAAACATGCAGACAGAGACATCAAATCTAGCTTATGTATTAATTTCCCATTTGTTCTTGGGTTAAAGGAGGCCTATTCAGACGGTAAAAGCTCAACAGTTGCCAAAGTGATCAAGGAGGAGAAGAAAATGATTTCCTTACAGAGAGTTCCAGGTCCTTACCTGATAAAACTCTTCAAAACTTCATGATGTAGTTCTGACTGGTTCAGGAAGAAATATAACTTTGTTTTTTTCTTTATCTGAATCTTTCTATGCACCTCTTTATAGGTTATATATATATAGGAAAATTAGAAACAATAATACTAGTTGTATACCTCAAATACAATAACAATTAGTCTTTTTTTTTTGCATAAATATTGAAAATCAGGCGCATGTTAATCAGGGTCTCAATTCCACCGTGACATTCTCGCTTCTGTCTGTATAGCCTGAAATGTAACACTTCACTTTTTTCACTTCTTCCCCCTGTATCAATATCAACACCAGTTTTAACCTGTCTGTGGGTAACAAATGGCTCATATCTCAGAGAATCCAATGCAATTTACTCTGCTCTGCCAGACTTTTTGCTAAACGCATGCCTAGCATTTCAATTAAATGTAGGCAAACTGCATCAGCACAGGGTGGTGGCATTGGCTTGGTTGAGCCATTTTCAGATAAGGAAATTTCATTATGTTCTGTTAGAGAATTAGATGAGTTTTTCTAGGTAAAGAGATTTTTAATTTGACTCACAGCATTTTAAACTTGGATTGGAAAGATATTTGTGTTTAAAAAAAATGTATATATTATGACAACTTTAATTAATTAGAAATAAATGTATTTTACCTTCTTAACTATGTTTTAAACTTCACTTAAACAGTTAAGAATTGAAACAGGATTCACTCAAAAATAAAATGTTTGTTTGAAACATCTGAAAGAGGTCACTGACTCTGCTGACTTGACAGCCTCCGGCAGATGCTTTCAGAGTTTAAGAACTTTGATGCTTTGTCATCTCTCATCTTTGGCCGTAACTGTGGAAGGTTTTACAGGTCTTTGCCTGAGGACTGCAGTCCTCCTACAGCCTCACGGGTTACCAAAGGGTCAGATCCTTAAGCGGCTGATGACAGAAAATCAAGAAAGTCCAAAAGTGAATTCTGAAAATATTTGGAGCATTTTATGTAAAAAGAATATTACTGTATAAGTGACTAAGATTGGTTTTGTAAGATAAAAGAATGTGGAAGCATTAACATTTGCAAGGCTTGTGTTTCTTCTTTATTAAGATTGATTCTGATAATATCTAGAAGTGGCCTATGCAGAACATTATTCCAGAGAAGCGATATTACATGTTTAATTTTGACATATCACACAAAGTTAGGCTTTATCATTTTTATGTTTGCGCTCATTAAAAACATGACAATGAGGACACAGACTTTCCAGAATTACTAATTTTCTCTTAAATCTTTCAGAAAATAGCAGTCTGAACTATTTTTCTTTCCATTTTTCTTGGAAAACAGTTGAAGCAATATTTGATAAAAATGCAATTTATTCTGAACTGAATGTTTCATAAGATACAGGCAGTATAATGTGTTATTGACACCTTAGAGGGGAGAAATAGTGGAATCATCAACGCTGAAACAAGGAAGCAACAAAAGAGACAGAAATAAATCCATTATTTCATTTTGACGTCTAGAATGAGTGAGGAGGACCGTGGGGGAGCAATAAATTGAAATCAGAGCGAGATGGTTTGAGGGAGAGTAAAATTTTGTACCTTTCAGCGTCAATTATCCAATTGTGCAGTGCCAACATGACAGAAATCAGAGCTTTTAGAGCGATTCAGCCCCCTGCTGCACTGCCAGCGAGCCCAGAGCGTATAATGCGATACGACATTGTAGTCCAGGCTTAATGCGGAGACACGGGGGCTCATAAAATATGGAGTGCAGTGCTGTGTGCGCGCTTGTGCACGTGTGCAATGAGGCAATGAAAGACTCAGAAACAGCCACACACAAAAAAAAGAAAACAGACAGAAGCAATGCAACATAATTATTGTTAGAAGGAGAGATTTGGAGGAGTCGACTGCAGAGACAGACAAAAAATGCATTATACAGAGTCTACTCTTATACAAGGACTGTCATACAAAAAATGAATCTTGGGACTGTCATGATTTGTTATTGAATGAGTCATCTATTTATTTTTTTTAATACCGTTTAAAAGAGACATAAGCCAGAAATATGACTGGATGCATATTTGATATTGTAGTGTTCTATATTTAATAACCTCAAAATTCCACCTTGGCACATTTTAAGTGGGAAAACCTGCTTGAGATTTTAACACCCATGTACACCTGCTGCTCTGTGTTATCTGCCTTCCTTCATAAGGAATTTATTACCACTCCAGTTTAGAATTTACAGCACACCATATGCATGTGTAATTAGCTCCTTTCTTAACCTTTATTAATGCTAAACAATCTTTTTTTTTTTTTTTTACAAAGTAAATGTTTATTTTTCACCATGTATTTCCAGATTGGAGATTTGTGTTGTTGTCACAGCTAAGATAAAGTGGAATTAGAAAATATTGATCCCTGAGGTTAAACTGCATCGGTGAAGAGTGGAGTGTTAATGGAAATTTAACATATCGGAGATTTGGCCTGGATCTAATTGATACAAATCTCCTGTCTCTTCAAAGGAGCTGTGTTAATTAGGTACCGACTTAGAAACCAGAGATTGTTTCTGTGTCCTTATTTGAATGGTTTGCTTTTCACAGGTCTGGGCGTGGAAGGAGAACGTGTGGGAGAAGGAAAAAGGCACTCTGATGGAGAGATACACTGTGGAGCAGAGCAAACCTCAGTCCCAGGGTGGGGCTGTCCTTTCCACACTGACTATCAACAATGTCATGGAGTCTGACTTCCACTCTCCATACAACTGCACTGCCTGGAACTCTTTTGGACCTGGAACCATGATCATTACACTCGAGGAGAAAGGTATGCTGGAACAGACACAGTACAGTACTCACTTCATACCTATTTACATCCAAGCGTTGTAGGTGGGAGGTCCTTAATTGGGCCCTTCAATTAATTGTCAAAGTCTATTTTAGTAATCGTAGCAAGATTCCAAGACGCAAAATGGTTTAGTCTGCACAACAGCAACAAGTGTAAAGTTGTTGAGCTAAACTGAATGACTTTGGGTATTCAGGGAATTGGAAAAATGAAAGAAGGCAGAATGAAAGTATGATTAAAGTTAACATAGTTGACTCCATGCGCAGCAGCTGCTTTAGCTGATGCTGTAAAATAACAGTGAAATACCCACCGTAATACAGGTAAAGACTGGAAAATAAGGAGCTTGTGATTATTCCTCCTCCCTCTGGGTCAGACAGCCGCTCCAATTAATATCACCAGTATCACCTGAGGAACCTACATATACAGCTCACCTTGGGTTCACTCCAACCTACTGAAATCCTGCTCTTCATGTCTCTGCTCTGATGTGCATAAAAATGCTCTTCTGTGTATTTTTTATGTATTTTGCTAAATTAAATTATAATTATTGTGAGAAAGATCCAATAGGTTTTGTTTAAATACTGCACTATAGGAATAATTTGACTGCAGAAGGTATGTAGAGCCCTTAGTGCTGAAAGTTGAATTGATCGAAAAGGAAATATTTCAATTTGGAAAAATGAGTTATGATGTTTCCCAATCTGGCAGTTTAGGATGGCCGTCGATGGGTAAAAAATGTTTTTCTTAAGATTTATGGCCTAAGAGATCAATAGACTTTGGATCAAATTGGTTTCGTATATCCAGGCGGTTTATGAACATTCTTTGGGCTGGAAAACGTCAGTCAGTGACATTTGGCACAGATGCGGTGTAGATGGAATAATGCCAGGGCCAAAAATCGTTCCCAGAATGAGCATGAATGAGGGACACAGTCGAAGGCCTTCTCCAGGTCCCCAAAACACACGTGGACCATTTGGACTGGTCTACTGTTCCACAGCCAGGATGAAAACCACATTGCTCCTTGACAATCTCCTCTCCAGCACTCTGGCATAGGCTTTCTCTGGGATGCTGAGAAGTTTGATCCATCTGAGGAACTAGTCTGACAGTGCAGGGGCACTGTCTCTGACCTCCTTTTGAAGATGTGTGTTGACCATGACATCCCAAAAACATCCATCGAACTGAGGTATTCCTTGCAGATCTCATCCACCTCCAAAGCCTTGCCACCACGGAGTTTTGTGGCCGCCTCAGTGACTTCAACTTGGGTGATGAATGTGTCTCAGAGCACCCTGTCTTTGATTCCACCAGTGTAGGAATGTAAGCTATGGTCATGAAATCTGGATCATGACTGAAAGAACGAGATCTCAGATACAAGTGACTGAAATTAGCTTTCTCCACAGGGTGACCTGGGATTCCCTTAGAGATTGAGTGAGGAATTGGTAATCTAAGAATGCTTCTCCTCCACATTGAAAGGAGTGAACTGAGGTGGCTCAGACATCTGTTCCAGAGTCCCCCCTGGACGCCTTCCTCAGGAGGTGTTCCAGGCACGTTCCACTGAGAGAATGCCTATTAGATAACAAAGGAGACTCTGGAGTTACTATGTCTATCGCCTGACCCTGAAGCACCTTTGGCTTCAGCCTTTCAGCTACAGTACTACTTATTCTCCTTCCTTATTATACCCAATGAAAATGAAAAAAAATCTATCTTGACAAAGTTATCGTGCAACAGAACTGCAGCATTAATAAGTCACAACTTCAAGCAATATGGAGATGTGTACATCCCTTGCATATAGACCTCCAACTGCAGCATAACTTCAGTAAATGTGATTAATATGTGCCAAGAAAAAACACCATAGACTTGGACAAAATATGTTTTTTTTCTTTAGAATCAGTGTTTTTGGCCCATAAAGTGTAGTAATTGGTTTGCTGCTCTATTTAGTTGAGTAATGTATACAAATATATTATAAAAAGGTCAGTTTTATTTATTATAAAAAGGTCTAAGATTTATCAATCTTAGTGGTCTTTGTAGGACTCAGAGGATCTCACAGAGATTTGGCTTTTTTTGTTTATATCAATTAAACTAAAAACAACTTTAAAGNTGTGTGTGTATCTATTTTAATCAAGTCACTGTGTTGGATTGGATTCTTCTAAAAAGCTACTGCTAAATGGTACGTCTAAAAGTACTGTAAAAGGTTAAATATATACAGGTGATACATATACAGAACCTTGCAAAGTGTTTATTCAAACCGAGCTTTTATAGATGTGTTGAGAATTGTTCAAAAAAAAGCCTGAGATGCCTTTAACCCTTTAAATCCTGGAGCGTGAAATAATTGACTGAAAATCGAATGTTTTTTGAGTCTTCATTGAACTTTATGATGTATAAAAGATTGGAAAAAACATAAATTTAGTACGTTAAATTAGATTATTTTTGCATCTAATTTGATACTTTAGACACGTGTAATCTCTTATACGTTTTCTGCCCACATAGTACGAGTTTTCAAGAACAAAAATATCCCACTGAAAATGATAAACAGTTTAATTTAACACTAAAAAGATACCCATATACAGAGTGTTTACTTTTTCTGAGGTAACTTCTGAAAGCAGGCAATTGAACTGGAGGTTATTTAGGGATCATCGAATTAAAGAGGATGGGTACAAATGTCAGCCTGACATTTTGGCATTTTATGTAAAAAGAATATTACTGTATAAGTGACTAAGATTGGTTTTGTAAGATAAAAGAATGTGGAAGCATTAACATTTGCAAGGCTTGTGTTTCTTCTTTATTAAGATTGATTCTGATAATATCTAGAAGTGGCCTATGCAGAACATTATTCCAGAGAAGCGATATTACATGTTTAATTTTGACATATCACACAAAGTTAGGCTTTATCATTTTTATGTTTGCGCTCATTAAAAACATGACAATGAGGACACAGACTTTCCAGAATTACTAATTTTCTCTTAAATCTTTCAGAAAATAGCAGTCTGAACTATTTTTCTTTCCATTTTTCTTGGAAAACAGTTGAAGCAATATTTGATAAAAATGCAATTTATTCTGAACTGAATGTTTCATAAGATACAGGCAGTATAATGTGTTATTGACACCTTAGAGGGGAGAAATAGTGGAATCATCAACGCTGAAACAAGGAAGCAACAAAAGAGACAGAAATAAATCCATTATTTCATTTTGACGTCTAGAATGAGTGAGGAGGACCGTGGGGGAGCAATAAATTGAAATCAGAGCGAGATGGTTTGAGGGAGAGTAAAATTTTGTACCTTTCAGCGTCAATTATCCAATTGTGCAGTGCCAACATGACAGAAATCAGAGCTTTTAGAGCGATTCAGCCCCCTGCTGCACTGCCAGCGAGCCCAGAGCGTATAATGCGATACGACATTGTAGTCCAGGCTTAATGCGGAGACACGGGGGCTCATAAAATATGGAGTGCAGTGCTGTGTGCGCGCTTGTGCACGTGTGCAATGAGGCAATGAAAGACTCAGAAACAGCCACACACAAAAAAAAGAAAACAGACAGAAGCAATGCAACATAATTATTGTTAGAAGGAGAGATTTGGAGGAGTCGACTGCAGAGACAGACAAAAAATGCATTATACAGAGTCTACTCTTATACAAGGACTGTCATACAAAAAATGAATCTTGGGACTGTCATGATTTGTTATTGAATGAGTCATCTATTTATTTTTTTTAATACCGTTTAAAAGAGACATAAGCCAGAAATATGACTGGATGCATATTTGATATTGTAGTGTTCTATATTTAATAACCTCAAAATTCCACCTTGGCACATTTTAAGTGGGAAAACCTGCTTGAGATTTTAACACCCATGTACACCTGCTGCTCTGTGTTATCTGCCTTCCTTCATAAGGAATTTATTACCACTCCAGTTTAGAATTTACAGCACACCATATGCATGTATAATTAGCTCCTTTCTTAACCTTTATTAATGCTAAACAATCTTTTTTTTTTTTTTTTACAAAGTAAATGTTTATTTTTCACCATGTATTTCCAGATTGGAGATTTGTGTTGTTGTCACAGCTAAGATAAAGTGGAATTAGAAAATATTGATCCCTGAGGTTAAACTGCATCGGTGAAGAGTGGAGTGTTAATGGAAATTTAACATATCGGAGATTTGGCCTGGATCTAATTGATACAAATCTCCTGTCTCTTCAAAGGAGCTGTGTTAATTAGGTACCGACTTAGAAACCAGAGATTGTTTCTGTGTCCTTATTTGAATGGTTTGCTTTTCACAGGTCTGGGCGTGGAAGGAGAACGTGTGGGAGAAGGAAAAAGGCACTCTGATGGAGAGATACACTGTGGAGCAGAGCAAACCTCAGTCCCAGGGTGGGGCTGTCCTTTCCACACTGACTATCAACAATGTCATGGAGTCTGACTTCCACTCTCCATACAACTGCACTGCCTGGAACTCTTTTGGACCTGGAACCATGATCATTACACTCGAGGAGAAAGGTATGCTGGAACATACACAGTACAGTACTCACTTCATACCTATTTACATCCAAGCGTGGTAGGTGGGAGGTCCTTAATTGGGCCCTTCAATTAATTGTCAAAGTCTATTTTAGTAATCGTAGCAAGATTCCAAGACGCAAAATGGTTTAGTCTGCACAACAGCAACAAGTGTAAGGTTGTTGAGCTAGACTGAATGACTTTGGGTATTCAGGGAATTGGAAAAATGAAAGAAGGCAGAATGAAAGTATGATTAAAGTTAACATAGTTGACTCCATGCGCAGCAGCTGCTTTAGCTGATGCTGTAAAATAACAGTGAAATACCCACCGTAATACAGGTAAAGACTGGAAAATAAGGAGCTTGTGATTATTCCTCCTCCCTCTGGGTCAGACAGCCGCTCCAATTAATATCACCAGTATCACCTGAGGAACCTACATATACAGCTCACCTTGGGTTCACTCCAACCTACTGAAATCCTGCTCTTCATGTCTCTGCTCTGATGTGCATAAAAATGCTCTTCTGTGTATTTTTTATGTATTTTGCTAAATTAAATTATAATTATTGTGAGAAAGATCCAATAGGTTTTGTTTAAATACTGCACTATAGGAATAATTTGACTGCAGAAGGTATGTAGAGCCCTTAGTGCTGAAAGTTGAATTGATCGAAAAGGAAATATTTCAATTTGGAAAAATGAGTTATGATGTTTCCCAATCTGGCAGTTTAGGATGGCCGTCGATGGGTAAAAAATGTTTTTCTTAAGATTTATGGCCTAAGAGATCAATAGACTTTGGATCAAATTGGTTTCGTATATCCAGGCGGTTTATGAACATTCTTTGGGCTGGAAAACGTCAGTCAGTGACATTTGGCACAGATGCGGTGTAGATGGAATAATGCCAGGGCCAAAAATCGTTCCCAGAATGAGCATGAATGAGGGACACAGTCGAAGGCCTTCTCCAGGTCCCCAAAACACACGTGGACCATTTGGACTGGTCTACTGTTCCACAGCCAGGATGAAAACCACATTGCTCCTTGACAATCTCCTCTCCAGCACTCTGGCATAGGCTTTCTCTGGGATGCTGAGAAGTTTGATCCATCTGAGGAACTAGTCTGACAGTGCAGGGGCACTGTCTCTGACCTCCTTTTGAAGATGTGTGTTGACCATGACATCCCAAAAACATCCATCGAACTGAGGTATTCCTTGCAGATCTCATCCACCTCCAAAGCCTTGCCACCACGGAGTTTTGTGGCCGCCTCAGTGACTTCAACTTGGGTGATGAATGTGTCTCAGAGCACCCTGTCTTTGATTCCACCAGTGTAGGAATGTAAGCTATGGTCATGAAATCTGGATCATGACTGAAAGAACGAGATCTCAGATACAAGTGACTGAAATTAGCTTTCTCCACAGGGTGACCTGGGATTCCCTTAGAGATTGAGTGAGGAATTGGTAATCTAAGAATGCTTCTCCTCCACATTGAAAGGAGTGAACTGAGGTGGCTCAGACATCTGTTCCAGAGTCCCCCCTGGACGCCTTCCTCAGGAGGTGTTCCAGGCACGTTCCACTGAGAGAATGCCTATTAGATAACAAAGGAGACTCTGGAGTTACTATGTCTATCGCCTGACCCTGAAGCACCTTTGGCTTCAGCCTTTCAGCTACAGTACTACTTATTCTCCTTCCTTATTATACCCAATGAAAATGAAAAAAAATCTATCTTGACAAAGTTATCGTGCAACAGAACTGCAGCATTAATAAGTCACAACTTCAAGCAATATGGAGATGTGTACATCCCTTGCATATAGACCTCCAACTGCAGCATAACTTCAGTAAATGTGATTAATATGTGCCAAGAAAAAACACCATAGACTTGGACAAAATATGTTTTTTTTCTTTAGAATCAGTGTTTTTGGCCCATAAAGTGTAGTAATTGGTTTGCTGCTCTATTTAGTTGAGTAATGTATACAAATATATTATAAAAAGGTCAGTTTTATTTATTATAAAAAGGTCTAAGATTTATCAATCTTAGTGGTCTTTGTAGGACTCAGAGGATCTCACAGAGATTTGGCTTTTTTTGTTTATATCAATTAAACTGAAAACAACTTTAAAGTAGAGTAATGACTAAGGGGCTGAGTCGTAATATCCTTTCTTTCATGTTGATCAATTTTAAAGTGTTAAATAACTTTATTGAGTAGGACCACTGAGTGGTGTTAGTCTTTTCTTTGGTGGCTGTTTAGTTATAAAATTTCTTGCATTATATTGGAGAAAATGGTTTCTTCTTGCTCAGTCAGTCTGATCCCTCCTTTATTCTCTGTGCCGCTGCATTCCACAGGCTTTAAAAAATCTACCAAAACATCTTTGAGAGAGAGACAGAGTTTGGATTTATTCTCGCATGTCCACTGAAAGCGTTTTCATCCCTTGTCTGACGAGCGCGCCTTATCATGCCATAACCAGCCCTCAGAGATCCAGCTTTGAGCGGAGAAACAAAAAGGATTTTCCCTAAAAACTGTGCAGCGTCCTCGTTAAATTTTTGTGCAGCAGCGAAGCCGCGGCTGTCCCTCAACCCCCCGACCCTTCTGCTTGTGTTCATTTCAGATATTGTTCCAGTGGGAATTATCGCTGGTGGTACAGTGGGCTCCTCCATTCTGCTACTCATGATTCTGCTGCCACTTGCCTTCTTCTTCTACCGCCAACGCAAAGGCAGTGAGTTGAACTGTTTGTTTGTTTAAGGATATACACATTCTTATTCTGCCTGTCACTCATTCTTTCATCCACAATCCTCTGCTCTCAATTTTCTGTTACACAAAGTTAATGGCATATGCCAGCCGCACAGCATTTTATTCAAATGAGATTAATGAATATTCATGCATTATGGCAATCGGCCTTAAATCGCCCACTTTATGTTTTCATATCGCTTTTGCTGACAGTCAGTTGTTTGATATTCTCTTGCCACTTGCACATGCTGGATAAAGTAGCTTCATAAATGAGAGGTCTAAAAACAAAAAGGCTCTAAAAGTGAATGACATTTAAATCATACATTTTTATATGTGTTATTTCTATAGCCAGCGGCAATCCAATTAGTTATTATGAACACATACCACGCTTCGTCAAACCAGAGATCTAAAAGCCCTGTTGTGGCTTTCAGATGTTTAATTTTGAGCTGCTTTGCCGAAAATAAAGAAACAGGAAAAGACATTGAAGGTGACTGGCAGAGTCCCCAGGAGGATTTTCAAGGGATAAGAGTACATACTCTGGTTCAGAGCTGATAAACACAGCTACCGAAGAGATATCGTTCAGAAAGAGAAACTCAAACAAACATTGTTGTCCCTGCAGATAAACAGTCTCCTGTTGGTGTCTGCGATGTAGCACGTGACTTCACAGATGGAAATCTTTTCTTTTAAGGTTTTTGGCAGTGGGAGACAGTTGTTCCTATCGGCAAACACAGAGTGCTCAGTTGTAAAACTCTTGTAAAGCTGTTTATTTCAGTATGACAACATAATACTACAACCAGGAAGGTTTTCCTTGTATATAAACATCATATGGTGTTTTAGTTGATCATCACTAAATGGGATTTATAAACATTGTAAAAACTGCTGATATATTTAATTTTGAGGTCTGTATTTGCATCCTCATTTTTTTTGTAGAGCTCCAGTCAGTTTGGTAATTTCTACCCCCTTTTTATCTTTATGATTTGCCATTTCATCTGAATTTTCCTCCTTTACATACCAAGAAACAAACCATCCTACTGTATATCCATACACATATCTGTTTTTGCAGTTAAGGATTTTGATGAATTTTAAAATATATCATGACACAAATGTACAAATATAATGTAGCGTTATTTTGTGTTGTATGATCTCTGAAATCTTTATATCTTACCAAATTGTGGAACTTGCTTATTTTTACAGGTCGCCGTGGTGTCACACTTGGTAAGCCAGACATCAAGGTAGAAACGGTCAACAAAGAGACCCATAGCTTGGAGGAGGAGGCAGCCAACGTCTCTACAGCAACTAGAATGGTCAAGGCCATGTACTCCGTAAGTAGACTCCCATATGAGTAACCGAGGGCTGTGGAGAGGAGGCGTACGGGTCAATGACCTTAAATGTACGAATACACCGACAATAATGGGGGCAGAACAGGAGGGGCACACATACACTTCAGGGAAAGAGTGAAAAAATAAATTGCTTTCCATGCTTTCAAAGATTACACCAAAAATACACTTTCTGTTGCAAAATAATTAACACCTCCTGAAGAGTATTTAATCTAGTTTAAAGAAAATCACATGTGAAAATATTAGTAATTTTTAACCCTCTTCATGTTTGTTTTACATGAGCAAAACTTAAATTATGTATGCAATATTTGATCATAAAATAGGGCAAATCTGGTCTATTTAATTTCCATTCAGTTCATTTCTATAGCACCAATTTACAACACATGTCATCTCAAGGCACTTTACAGTTCACCAGATCATACAGTCAAACTGATTCCAAGTTTTCTGTCTAAGGAAAACCAGTTGATTGTATCGACTCATTGATTTGAATGCAATCCCTAACACTAAGCATGTTTGTAGCGACAGTGGAAAGGAAAAAGTCCCTTTTAACAGGAAGATCCTCCAGCAGAACCAGGCTCAGTATGAGCGGCCATCGAGGCCAACTGAGGTTCAAAGAGACAGAAGCAGAGATACAAAAAGCAACTGTAAAAGGCGGCCCCGTCCAGGAAGCACACAGCCAGGCAGACGAGCTCCGAGCCAACTCCCATTTCAGAGGATGAAGAGAGCACATGACACAGTCAGAGAAACAGGACTACACTGGAAAAACAGGCCAATCTCCAACATCTATAAACAAAGGTGTTGATGGCAGCAGCACAGCTGATATTTCTCTCCAGGATGGAATCACAGCCAAACAGGAACAGATGAGGCGAAGCTACTATGTGGAATATAATGTTAGATATTAAACTTACAGAGTAGGAGAATAGAGATGTCCCTATGTCCTCCAGAAGTCTAAGCCTTTAGCAGCATAACTATAAAGATAGCTCAGGATAACCTGAGCCACTCTAACTATAAGCTTTATCAAAAAGGAAAGTTTTAAGCCTA